TGTCAGTTTCCCAATCAACATGGGGAGCGTTGAAATCACCCAAGACAAAACAATGTCCATCGCAGGCGTACCGCTGTATGCTGGCCAGCAGCTCTGGGACCTACACAGCTGGTGTGCGGTAAATCACTCCAGCTGTGGTATACCCTCCGGCACAAAGCTTGATTCTGCACCACAGGGCTTCTCCAAATCCTTCCGGATGGGAGTAATTCTCCAGCACTCGAACAGGAAGACCCGAGTGGACAAAAAGAAAAATTCCTCCACAGCGACGTGACGATGATCGATCCGTTCGAATCACTGTGTATCCGTGGCGTGATATTTCGGAGTCCCGGACATCCGGTGTCAGCTAGATCACAGTGATCGCAAAAAGATCGGGATTATGGGATACAACCCAGTCTTCCAGCTCATCTCTTTTCCCCAGCATCCCTCGGGTATTGGTTGAGGCTAGCACAGAGTGGTTACCTTGCCATTCACGCCTCACGCTAATTCCCCCGTCAGAGGGGTAAAACAGTCTCCTGGGTCCTCCCCCCAACCAAGGGTAGCCAGCGCAACTGAGGATGCTTCCTGTGCACACGAAAATCCCGTATATACAGATCAGTTTCCCCTTTTGCACGGCGCTTCCTGAGTTCTTCTAATGCAGTTTTCAATTTGCTGCGCTGCTCGGGATCAAGATCCATGAGGAATCGCACCGGAGTTCCCTTCAGCTTGTGGGTCCGCTGGAGTATCGCTTTCGCTTCGCTTTCTGCTCGAAGAACCACTTTCAGCGGTCGTGGAGAATTATCCTGACCTTCCAAGCCTGAGTGCCGCTTTTACTCTGATCGATGCCGCTGGTTCCACCTCGCCACCATCAAACAAGGTAACCATGTGCGACCTCAGCAGCTGCAGGTCGTGGTCTTGGCGAGTCTGGGCAGTGATGGCCTCGGCCTCCGGAAGATTGACAACAATAAGGCACTGAGATTTCGGAGGGAGCTTCTGCTGCATAGGTTCCTGCAAATCGCGGGGCAGCTCTCAACTGTCCATGATATGTTACACGCACCGTGCCTGGATGTCGTCGACGAAGGAGTTGAGTCTGTCCGTGAGGGCAATACTGCAGACGATATCCCTTCCGTTTTTTTCGGGTGCTTCTGCTGTGGTGCTGCTTTTCGCAGTGGAGTGAAAATGACATCTGCATACGAAGGGGCAACTTTCACAACCGTGGCCGGCGTTATGGGGGTTAGAGAGATTTTTGGCAGTGGCGAGCTGGCAGGCAGAGCTGTTATCTTTGAAGAAGCAGATAAGAGAGGCCACTGGGTGTGTGTGGGTTCCGAGGTAGCAGGTGCTTCAACTGTTGCTTTTGTCGTCACGCTCAGTTCCACCCTCTGCGTCCCCTGCCATGGGGTGACCACTTGTGTCGGTCATTTTGGTCGTTTGCCGGGTTTCCTGATCGGGCTAGCTGGTGTGAACCGTGAACTTAAGTCTTCTATTTTTCCTCTAGCGTGGCGATTTTTGAATTCGTTCTTTCTTCGGCTCCTGACAATAGCTTCTCGTACTTGTGTATGATACAAGTGATGCATTTTACAACCGGGATTTCCGCACATTCTGTACAGAACCGTTCTGACTGAGTGGCTAATTGTTTTGTCTGTTCTCTTATTGACCACGTCGCTATTAAGATATACCCCTACCCCCGGGGTTCAACAGATGGATCTACTTTCTGTTTTTTTTTTTGTTGAATTGGCCATTCGAACTTATGTTTCGACTTTTACCGCCCATAAGAAATAATCCTCATCCATGATTAGCTTTTTTCATCCTCCCGTTTGAAATCAAATGCGACAGAAAAAGGAACAGACTTTTAGATCTAACGACGATAACTTGATGTAGACTGTTTCAAGACCAATCGAAATTCAATTTCCCCTACTAAATTTAATTGATTTTCAACACATTCTTCCCCGAGAAACAATTTTTTGTGGGTTTTCCGTCAGAAGGCGCTCTCCATCCATGGATATGGAAGATACAAACCATAGATTCCACGGACCAGGTAATCTACTCAAAGCCTGAACTCCCCTCACCCCGCCCCGTCCCAGTAACTCATACTATTCCCTGGGTGACCGATCCGATAGAAATGCACGAAGAGTCAAACTCGCTAAAGCCCCACAAAACTGGTACACTATATTTATGGATGGCAATCATCTGTGTTAAAAGAATGTGACAGTGTGTTGTCACCTGTTCTGCCCAAAAAATCTGCAATCCTCGTACTAACGTTAATTACCGGATCGATTTAGAAACCAAACCAAGTCCGAAATAGGTTCTAACAAATTTTATGCTATAGCTTGTAGATCGACAACCATGATTGTGACAAATTGTCCTCATAGTTGAAAACAACTGATTGTAGTCAATTCGCCTTTTGTCGTAAGCAATCTAACCTGCAGTACAATGAGGTTTGTTACTTGTCTTAATTACCCCGAATAAACCGTCATGACACCATGTAGGAAGAACGGGCCGTAGAGAACAAACTAGTTTGCCGTGATTCATCTACTGGGTAAAAAAAATCATCAACATTCCAGCTCGATGATCGGATGTTCCTCACACTTTGGGCATCACACATACGTCTTGGTTCGAGTCATTGAGGGCGGTTGGGGTTGGCCATTGAAGATCGAGTGTTATTCTGAATTGTTTTGCGATCATAGAGGAGTTTTATGCAGGCGGATTCCGATTGCTTTCACTGTGAACACAATGCTACTCCTTAGAACCCATTAGATCGACGACTGCCAACTAAGAAGATGGGTCAAAACACCTCGGTTGCATCAACCCTTTGTACCGTCATACTCTAATTTTCATGGTGCATCTTATTCTGTCATCGGTCGATAATAAAGCTGTATGAATGTGCTTTTTAGACCAAAGCTATCTATCAGGAAGTGTTTTGAGATATAATTCAGCTTCCGTTTGTCGTTGCAAACCGTGAAGTTCGTCCACTTTTCTTTTCAAAAACAACTTACGCTCCACGGTAACAATCAACTCAACCGTAGCCTCCGAATTGGGGGTTCTTCATTCAGCCATTACTTTTCCTTTGTTCTTTTTAAATTACTGAGCTTCTATGCCCGCTTTTAAGAACTCCTTACTGATGAAACACGATGATCACGCTCTCTATGGCTTATCCTATCCCCAAAGCTCTGTTTCTCCTGCTATCTAGTTTTATACCTCACAACTTAAGGAGTGGTCTGCTGCAAACCATCGTTTTGTTGATGGTTTCCCTCCATTTTGGTAAATCATACTATAATTCTAGTGAGGTGTGCCAGTTGCTATTCAATAACGGTGCATCCCTTGGTCAGTTGAATAAATGGATGCTATTCTTCACCATCTCTTTTCATTATCTGAGCCCATCAACAATGTTTTCGTAAAACTGAGAAAGCTCTCGTCTTTTGGGCTTCGCAATAAACTCTAATCTACGCCCTCCCATCTAATAAAACAGTTCCTGCATATAGGCATCCTCGATCTATTACAGAAGGATATATATGTAATATTCAGATCAATTTAGAGTATGAAGCCCGGATTAGCCCATTGGATTGTTCAGACGCACCAGGCACTCTTGACAGTCTTCGATGTGGGTTTCACTCCTTGGGAGATCGTTAATTCCCCACTGTTTGTATGCATTTAAATGCGATGGAAATGTTTGTGATAACCAACAAAGAGCACTGGACATCAACTGTTTGGTCCTGTTTGGGACTCGTCAGCAGTGCGTACGATCTATCAAGGAGTGAAACCCACACCGAAGACCATCAGGAGTGCCTGGTGCCTCCGAACAATCAAATAGGCTAATCAAAGCTTGACACTCCAAATTGATTGAGCCATTCGCACAAAGTGAAAACCGTTGACCGTGTAGCTCAGGGGTAAGGGTTTGAAGTCCCGACCCGACTGATCGCGGTTCGAGTCCTGACAGGGACACAAAAAGTGCGCACTGCCGATGAGTCCCAAACAGAACGAAACAGCTGTCCAGTGCTCTTTGTTGGTTATCACACAAATTTCCATCGCATTTAAATATCCAGATCACTCTGAAATTTTTGCACGTGTCTTTTGATTTACCAAGAATTCACATACTCCATAATATTGTCTCTCAACACACCAAAGTTGGCTCAAAAATAGATCACAAAATACTGTCTGACTCCCGTCGCCCTACCAAATCCGCATTGCCTGAATGCATTTCAATCCTATCTACTCATTCCGAGTAAAAACAGGTTCATGCACGAACAAAAGGGTAAAATTCTTCCACAGTTCCTTATCTTGTTGGTTTTTTGTGTCAACCGGATCGTATTTTCCAGAATTTGTTCACAGCTTTGAATTAATGCCGTAAGCCTGCTATACTATCCACCCTCGCCTCGTAAGCCTCTAGAGTAGTTCCTTCTAATGTTCAGTTCGTTCCAAATGTTATAAACCCATAAGGCGGTCAAGAGAGCAGAATGACTATTTATTGCGAACACACGGTGACGGTATCGTAAATTTGCATACACCAAACAAAATATCTCATTTGCAACAAGTCATTCAGAAGTTTCCGGAAACACACAGGACAATTTGTCGAACTGTCCGTTAAATACAATAATTTGATCTAAGTGATCTCGTTCAAGTTTGACTCTTCAGAGTAACAGCCAATCATGTTCATCTGCGCAATCTAAACAAACTACTGATAACACTAGTTCTTCGAATCCGGCATGCAAGCAGACTGTGATGATCCACGCCTACGTAGCGCGTAACACTTTCTGGACACCTGCAATCAATCAAATTTGAAAGGTGAAGTCAATGACGTGCGTATGCGTCACGGCTTCTGATTACACGCAATAGGTAGGTTGTTCCAGCCAATCCGAGGCAGTGCAGACGGAAGCAGAATTATGCAAAACAATACTGCAATACGATTAGTGGAAGCCTAGATAACCAATGATCTTCTTTTATACAAAATTATTTAATCGCTCTCATTTCATAAAATAAACGAAGTACGAACTACCATTCTTGTGGCCTTTTTCTCGAGTATCAATTGAATGGGACATTGTGTGTTAGTGCCATCGCAATCTACTGCTTCCGTAATCCAGTCCGTGATAGCTGATCCTATATTCGTGTCCTTTGATTCCTATTGCGTGTTTCGTGTTCCGAATTCCGTGGGTACTACTATAACAGCTACTACTACAGCCACTACAAATTGGCGTCGCGTGGTGGAGCTTCCAACGATTGAGCAACTGAACCTGCAGACAACCCCATCTGGGATCGAGGAATGGGTCAAACGATTAGAACTGTGGTGCAGTATTCGTAAAGGTGGTGAACAGAATTAATCAGTCCTATTTCTTACTACTGGCGGCCGTATACTTAAACTCGCTGTTGAAAAACCTCGCATGAAGTCCACTGTTAGAGACAATGTGATGAATCACCCGGAAAAACATGTTTTATCCCTGGCACAACATGGGTTTCGTCGCATGCGATCGTGTACCACTAACCTGCTTCTGGCCCGAAAAGAGTGGTTAAAAGCAGTTGATCACAGTGTGGAAATAGATGCAGTGTACTCCGACTTCTCCCAAGCATTCGACCGAGTAAGACACAAAATATTGCTGTGGAAACTACACAATTATGAAATTCGGGTATTTTTACTAAGTTAGATAGGTCTTCTTCCACAACTCAGTATGGTAGCTCGGGTTTCCGGGACACTTTCTGTCCCCATCAGCGTAGCTCGAGAAGTTCCTCAGCGATTCGTGCTTGGCCGTCAACTTTTTCTAGTTTTATTAAACGATCTAACGGACATTCTGGGGTCACAAACGTCAGTGTTTGCAGGCGATGCAAGAGTATGGAAACAGTGACAAAACCCGAAGGTTTCCTGGCATTTCAGGGAACACTTACTTATCACTTACTGGTCATTCGAGAACAATATCCAATTTAAACAATTTAAACAACACACGGTATACCTACTGTCTAGTTTGAAACCACTGCACCAAATTCGTGCGAGAAGAAAGTCTGATTCACGAGTTTATAACCAATCCCCAGCTGTTGTACAAAGACGTAAATGCCTCTAGGAAAGTAAAGTGTGGCTTTTCAGCGCTAAGAGTGACAGAACGTGTTGCAGTCACAACAAAGGAGGCAGCTGCAATGCTAAAAGGTCAGAACGCTCAATTATCTATTGCACCTGCGAACACTGGGCTACGACCGCCTCTATTACGTGAGAACATACTATATCCAACGCTCACCACAATTGATTTTTTCCAGAAATCGTAGCATCTAAATTGCAATGGTTGAAAAGGAAGTTATCTCCGAGGATAGATAATATTCATCTGCAAACCCTTATCAACCTAGCAAGAAACACAACTAATCCAACATATGTTCAACAGAAATTTGCTCTCACAAACATGGAACCAAGGAAAAATTCCACCAATTTACAAAGGTGGCTGTTATAGTGACCAAGCTGACTATTCCTCCGTTACT